CCCCAAAACCCCAAAACCCCAAAACCCCGGCAAGTAATTATCATAAAATTTAGTAGAGATAAGTTAGAATTTAAATTTAAATTCAAAGATGAATTACAATAGTGGATTTGACTATATGGCAAATAATCCTAACTATCTATCAAATTAGTATCAATCATTACCTTCTTAGAACACTAATTCTCAAAGGGTTGGACCTCTTCAATAAATAGTAAACTATAGTACTGATAGTCAAGGCAATTAATATCGAGAAATATAAGAATGCTATCAATCACACTAATAAGATAGGAATAACTTTTAAACTACACTTTAAAACTAAAGACCTTCTACAGCTTCAGTATATAAACCATAAATACAGCAACCTATTTAGAATATTCCTTAATCTTCAGCATAAAAAAGAGGAAGACAAAGATCTTAGAGCTAGAAGTGAGACTCTTTAAATAGCAAAAGTAATAAATCTGAGCAGTCTAGAAATGTCAATATATCAAAGACGATAGGTTCTGCTGGAAATTCAACTCACACTTAGGATAAAAGTTTTCTAAAATTCAAGCAAAAGATAGAACAGTAGAGAACAGCTTACGAGAAAACAAATAGCCACATATCGTAAGGAAGCTAAAACATCTCTCAAATGAGTCTAAGTAAGCAAGACTATTAATATAAGAATCAACAGCCCAAGGTAATGCCAAGTGATCATTAAAATGATATAATTAGCAATAAGGAGAATATTCATTCAAATATCATGCTCAATGAACACAACTTAGGAGTACAGTAGCATTATTATTAGGCAAATAATAACAATCACCATTAGAAATAGACATAACAAGCTAAGTTCTAAAACTAGTTCCTTAGGCAGTAAAACTAGTAAAATTCTGTGAATACTAGTGGGATTTCTAACTAAATGCATAGTTTTGACAATTAAAGACCTTCATAGAGTTCTATAAATTATCTAACTAACTAACAGACCATATTCAATTAGCAGAACTTAAATCATTTTAAGCAGGGTTTGCTACAGCCAAACTAGAATACTTCTACACAGAATCATCCAAAAATCAATATATCTTTAAGAGCTCTGGGCCAAATAAACACTAATCAGCCACCTACGCCTGCTCCGATCTAAACACCACACACCTAGAGAAATATGTCCTCAATGAAACCACCTCTTGAGTCATCATAAAAGCTCTAAAAGATAACTTAATAATAAGCAAGTCATCGACCTGCTACTGCAAACCCAAGATCTTAGTCTGCATCTACTTAATAGAGCCATGTTACTCAAAATCTAAGTGGTGCTAAATCAGTCAGAAACAATAACGATACTTCTTCCAAAAAGGGTGTAAACACTTCAACGTTGAGTTATTAAAGCACTACAATTTACTTGAAATAAAAATCTCAAAGACATAGAAGTCTCTCATTAGGCCAAACAAAAAAGCAAGACTCTTAATAAGCAGCAGTTCATAATATTATACTCTCAAACTAAACACCCAAGAATAGCAGCAATGTAAATAACCAAAAAGTCAGTATATCGAGTTGTCTTAAGAACTCTAATAAGAGCAACGTCAGTATAAAGCTAAGTCAGCAAAGCTTCACAAGAGTCAATCAAAATAATGATGATTCTTAGTAATAGCCAATCAAAAAGCTTAAGATTATTAAACTGAAGAAAAAGAAGGAGGGAAATATCAGTGGTACTACTGACTATCAAGAAAAAAGGGACCAGATAAAGATAATCAAGGCAAGTCAAATATCAAGGAATACATCGGCTCAAAGAGAGAGTAAAACGATTGAAGAAGTAGTCATTCCTGACTAGCTAAAACAAAAGCTAAACATTTTCTATAAAAGTAAGACTGGAGTCGAGCTATAAAAAGTATAAAATGCTGTGCCTTTAACAGCTAGAAATGTGACAAGGGTAGAATAGCCTTTTAATAGTACAATGAATGCAAACAGTGTTTGTTCAACTGCAAGAAATATTATCTAGCCGCCATAATAAATATTTACTTATCCACAGTAACCTCAGATTCAAAAGTAACTACCGACTCAATAGTTATTGATAAATCAAAAGTAGCAACAATAATTTTTCTCACCGGCTGAAAGAAATATTGTAAGCTCTCCACTCTATAATAACAATGGAGTTACAAATAACCCTCACCTTAACAATATGATTCAGGTACCTCAGTCTATAATCTTCAATTAAGAATAGCAAGAGCATGTACTACTCCAATCAGAGCTGACTCAAAATTCTGCCTACTCTCTTATTTTCAATTAGCTATAAGATATGTCAGAATCACATGAAAATCCAAAAGACCTAGTGATAAATCATTTGTAAAATAATAATAGTACAGATAATGAGGACTCATAAGATTTCATTAATAATCTCATCAAATTCAATGTTGACATGCAGCAATTTATTCATTAAAAAGACTAGTTGCAATGCCAAATAGAAAATATGAGAGTTGGACCGATGCCTTAGTTCGCCAATCAAATGTAGTTTCAACAATACATGATGCTGGAATAATAGAATTAATAAAATATAGGAACAAATCAGTAGCTGATTAATAGCTAGACTAATAATAATTATATGGGGACAATAGTCAACAAGAATTAGTAATTTGCCCCTTAATAGAGTAATAATCAGTATTAGCAGAGAATGCCCTAACTTGATTTGATTGAATAATTCAATGACCCTAAAATACAAACCAAGTCAAATATGATAAGAGTAGATGAAGATGTCTTAAGTGACTAATATTATAACAGTCCATAAAACAATTTCAAAAAACATTAGTAAACTTAAAATTCTCAGATGAAACTATATGACCCACAAATGAATTAGTGTTATTCTTCTATGACTGTTAGAACGAGTGGTTTGAATGACGATGAAGAGGAAATGGAGTACAGTTCAGATGAGGGTGGGAATCTCCTTGAAAGCTAAACAAGCAACAGTTTTAAGCCATTAAGAAGTTGAGAATTATTCTGAGAATCTAGTTGAGTGAATTCTTATATGACTGGAAAACATTCATCGGTTATAATTGACTTATTTTACTTTTGGAATTAATTATACATTAATATAAAGCTATTTTTATCATTCTTATTGTTTGATTCTATCTTCAATTTCCTTTATAAGTTCATCTGACTTTTTAAACAATTCATTTTTCTATTCTTATAGCAGCTTCTGCAAAGCTCTTCTTTTTTCTTTGCGTAATCTTTTCTCCTTTTCAATGCGCCTTTGTCGCTTTCTCTACTTCTCTGCCTCTCTTTTTTACAGATATCGATAGGACTTACCCATATAAACCAGAGAAAATCCTCGGATGACAAGCATTCCTACTGAGACTACTATCAGCATTGAGTAATAAATGTAGACATTTATACAAACTCCATGAGCTTTAGCCTCCTCCCCTATCTTTTTGTAGTAAGTCCAAATATCATCACATGCATTTGTTACAGCTCTAAATCAGTTACTCGTTTACCAGAGCATCCCAATAATAAACACTTGTGCGAATAGATTAAACAAGATTGAATTCCTGAAGTAAAACTTTCTAGGAGATATATGAATATACATGTGGCCTATGATGCAGACGAATGACTATGCAGTGAACATGCCTATCAAAAGTGATTGATTAGTCCTAGAAGGCACAGTATTGAAAAAGATAATGGAGCAGAACTCTACTATGATCTCGTATGTGTTAAAGATGCGAGATTTATTCAGAATAGCTGCTAGCTTTGAGGATTTAGTGAAAAGCCTGCGAATAATCTTTATGCAATTTCCCATTTTGTAATATTTTATTCTCTATTTCAATATTCTTGCAATAAATGAATCATTTGGGGTTTTGGGGTTTTGGGGTTTTGGGG